ACTATATACAATAGAAAACAAAGAAAATACACAAATTAAAAATTAGAAGTTAAAAGAAAGGTAGCAGAAGAAGAATAAATCTTATGTCTGCCCCTTTTGTCCCCAGAATATATTCATATATTATATTATTTGTTATTCCTTGCTTCCTAAAAGGATAAACCATTGATTTTCACAGTTTTGTATAATTATAAGAGAACTCTGTTGGGAGTGTAGTTTTTACCGTAGGAAGTGTCTGAGCGTTGTTTCCACCTCTGTCAACAAGCTGCTTCATTTCAACCTGATTTGATTGTTTTCATTAGAAATAACAGAAATGTTTGTTTGATCTGAGGCATCCTGATTAACAGATATAGTTTGTGTTTGAGCATCTTTTCAGTGAATAATTCTTCTTGTTTCATCACACCTGCTGTCTCTAACGACATCACCGGTGCTAACCCGTGTTTGAAGCTTCACTGATCTATTTTTTATTTTTTCACCACAGAACCTCAAACCTGCTGAATGTTGTAAATCAGAGTGGTTGTAACCTGTGTTTATAGGCTGGGTGTCCTGATCAGAGCTCTTTAATCATCCATCATGAGCTGATTCTCACCAGTGTTTGTTTGTTTTTGTTCTCCGGTTGTTTGCAGAGTTTCGCTCACCGTCCCACCTCAGCGGCTTGAACCGAACGGGCTCTCTGAGCGGAACGGACCGGACCGACTCGCTCGCCGTCAGCGGCAGCTGCAGCCAGCTCAACAACAGCATCCCGCTGCAGCAGTACGTCCCCGACTTCAACGTCAGAGCGCTCACCGACCTGCAGTTTGTCAAGGTCAGTCCACAGGAAGGAGACCCAAACGCCCCGCTGACTATTAAAGTGTCCGTGATGTCAATTTTTTTACATTAAATATGAATGCAGTTTTGGAAAAATAACATTAATAGTGTGTTTCAAAACAAATTTCACGCCGCTGAGATGAACCGTTCTTGAGATATTGACATGTGAAGTAACAGGAAGTGATGTCAAAGGGGAATGTCTGCATGTAAACAGAGCGTTGCTATAATAACACAGGCTGTAGAGAAGAACCTGATGTTTCTTTAGATTATTTCCATCACTATCAGAAGCTGTGTTTCCATTGCAAATGTGCGCAAAAATTTGTCGATATTCTGTTAATGTCGAAAAACACAGTTTCACAACTGCTGTGTTTCCATTAAGTAAGAAATGCTATAAAGTCACGCGTGAATACGTTTGTTGTTGCGATAAGTCATTACAAACATGGCGGCGATGGATGTAAACACATAGCATGTTGCTACCACGACACTAGCGCTCATCATCAGAGGAGACGTCGGCGTCTT